GCAGACCCATGCCCCCTATAGCAAAAAAAAACCCCAAAAAAAAAAAAAAAAAAAAACAAAAAAAAACCCCTGCCACATATCACAAAGAAATCCCTGTACCCATCACCTCCCCAGGTTGTCATTAGCGTCTCGCTGTGTACATGCATGCACACACGCAAATACACCACAGAGGCATGCGCTGCACGAATTGAGAGTGAATCGCAGACATATCCCCTGCACCCCTAAGTAGGTCAGTGTTTCTCTCTTAAAAACAAGGGCACCCCTGACATAAGCCAGTGACACTTAGCAAAGTCGGGCGGTGTAACCCTGCTGTGGTGTACCCTGATTGACAGGCGACATCGATTCTGAGTAGCCCAGTGAATGCTGGTCCATAGCTGCTGCTTCCTGAGATCACGAATCTCAGTTCTCCTGTCTTCATAGTTAGTCTTCTTTGATCTGGAACCTTCCCTTAGTCTTTCCTTTTTCTTTTTTTGGAGAGGTTTTTCACTATAGGGCACGTGTGCTCGCCAGACAGAGACACAGAGACAGAGAGACAGAAAGCGAGAAATCACCCCCCATGGGGGACGGCCACGCCGCAATCCCTTCTCCTCCATTCTCCTCTCGGGATCTTGGGCACACACGCACACGCGCCCGGCGTGAGTTTAAGTCACCGGGTCCAGGACTCAAACCGCAGTTGAGTACGTGGGAGTCCAGCGACATAGCCATTCCACTAACTGCTGGTCCCCCTCCCCCCCCCCCCCTTTTTTTTTTTTTTTTTTGAGTTTTGGCTATAAGGAGAGTGCCCTTGCCAGAGAGTGAGAAAGTGAGAGATCATCCCCCCAGGGAGGATGGTCACACCACAGTCCCTTCTCCTCCATTGTCCTCTCTAGATTTTGGCCACGCACACACACGCGCCTGGTGTGATTTTCAAGCCACCCACATCCAAGACATGAACCACGCAGTTGGCCCTGTGGAATCCAGCCGCCTTAATCCTCTACTCCACCTGCTGGCCCAGTCCCCGAGGCTTCCCTGATGCTGGCATTTTGAGAGTACAGGCTGGTTGCTCGGCAGACTGTCCCCACAGCGGGTGTGACATTTCCTTGGAATTCGGCTCGGATGCTGCCATTGGGGCAGGGGAAGCTCTGATGGGAAGCTGAGTGCTTCTCGCTGCTGCTGGGCTGTCTTGTTCTTGGGGACGTGGACACTGAGGACCTGGGAAAGGTGGGTCCCGTGGGTCTCTTTCAACCTCCGTTTCCCTGTCGCCACTTCCAAGGTGGCATTCTCAGAACCCCCACAGTGAGGTCTGGTCTATTCCTCAATGAGCTGGGTGTGTCACCTCACTCATGCTGACTGGTCACCGTGGGGCCGCCTGTCCCCGACTCTACTAGGAGCCCCAAAACAGCCAAGGCCTCATCCGCTCGCCAGGACGGCCCAGCTCCTGGTCCGGAGGAGGCACGTGGGACATATTTGCTGAGCGAGTGAAAGAACGAGTGAGAATCGTTGGAGCTGATTCTGTGGCGGCCAAACCCGCCGAGTCCCTCCAGCTGTCTGTGTGTCTGTCTTTTCGTGTGTCCATGAAGCATGGCTCCACCTGGGGCTTTCCTTGTAGGGCAGATTCTCGCGGAAAGCATGAACGTCTGCCTGAATCCCAAGCAAGGGGCCTGGCATGCATCCTTTGGGGAATTACAGACCAGGTTTAGAAACCCGACACCCACCTCCAGATTGTTCCATATGGTTCTCCATGGCAGGGAGCGAGGGGGCGTCCTCCCCTTGGATCCTGTGAAATATCTGGACGGGACAGAGCGGCACAGAGAGGCCTCTGTACCAGGAAGGGCCATTGGCGCTGTCTCCTCTGCCCAGCGCCACCTCTCAGAGCCTGGGAGGGACGTGCAGGAGGGACGTCCTGGGACCTCTCGGGACATCACCTTCCCCCTTTGCTCTTCCAGACGCAGGAGGAGGGAGACCCAGTGACGGCAGCAGACCAGCTCGGCAGCTCGCCAGCTCTCCAGCTCCAGTGTCCGGGTGCAGAGGTGCGCGCCCTCCTCGGCTGCTTCAGGAAAAAGCCTGGACCAGGTCCCTGGAGACCCGGCACTCTTGGCTGCAGCGTTTGGCTACTTGTGCACCGTAGGACGCACCGCCGGCTCCGCTGGATCATCCGCCGGATCTGGATCCGGATCCTGCAGGGAAGCACGGCCGGGCATGGCTGTAACCAGGGCTTCTGGCTGACGAATACTGGCTGTTGTGCTTTGTTTCTGGGCGGGGAGTTCCCAGGACACCAGGCCGGCGTGGCTGGCAGTAGGGCTGGACCTGGGCGAACCGCGATCGAGCTGCGGTTCCATCGGGCTCCGGGTGCTCTTACCTCGTGGGAGATGAACCAGGTCATGCACCCGAGGGCCCCGTGGGAACCGAGGGCCGGAGGCCCCACAGCGCGATGGGTGTGACACCACCTACCCGGCTCGCAGTGTCGTCATTGGGGACTGCCTGGAGTCCAGTAGGGAGGGGCGCGCAGTGGGGCGGCCTACAGCGGTCCAGGCGGCCGCAGGTGCAGGGGCGGCCGGCCCTGCTGATCAGCGCTTTGTGTGAGTAGCCGTCATGTCCCGGGGATGCGGTTCCTGGCCTGGCCTCTGGACCGGGTCTGTGCGTGGCCTCTGGGTGGGCTGCGCGAGCTGAACTGTATTGAATTGGGCTGAAATAAATCGAGCAGAAAGGCAACGGAGAAGTGGGAGTCTCTTGCTGAGCGCTTGTCCTGGGGTCTAAGAGGCATGAGACCAGCCCTCCTAGCTGGGTCTACAGCTAACACCGACGTGGTGGGCCTCAGCAAGAGGCACCAGGCCCGGCGGCTGGGGCAGCGGGGAGGCTTTGAGCGGTGACCTTTGGGCTGAACCTTGCAGTGGGAATTTAGAGAAGGACATCGGGGACCCAGGCAGTCACAGGCGCAGAGGCACAGTGCATCCAAGGGATGAGAGAGAAGGTGAGGACACGACTCGAACCACCCAGGCTGGGGTGATACCGGAGAAGGTGCATCATGGTTGGTGACTGTCAGCCCCATGTCACAGTCACCTGGGATGGAGAGCTGAGGTCGTCAGGGAAGGCCTGTAGCAAAAAAAACCTCTCTCTTTTAAAAAAATAAGTAAGTAAAATGAAGGCTTTTCTTACCCAGCTCTGTAAAGCGGTTACGGCTGATGGTAGGGTCTCCTGTTTTGAAAGAGCTATGCTATCTCCATAGGACCCCAGATTAGAGAACTGAGGGTCTATCTCAGTGAAGGTCTTGGCCTGAGGAGGCTTGGGGACTGTCATTCTTGGGAGCTCCTATTTGTTAGGTCTGTCTCCACTGTACATTCTGGGCACTGGGCATTTGATACCCACTTGGGTGACAAAGGTCACTGAGGTCCGGAGTGGCCAGGTTGCACAGACACGGAGTTGGGGTTTGAACTCTGGGCCGTCTGTCTCCAAAGCTCATGAGCTGTCCACGGAATCACACCGCAGGATACCCTTAGATGGGAGGGCCCAGCCCTCTCTGCCCATTAGAAAGCTTTGGGGAGCTTTTGAGATTCCCGTGTAGCCACCCCCGAGACCAGATCCGCCTGCAGGAATGAAAAGCACTTTGGAAGGTCAGAGTGCAAGCTGTAACAGGGCGCGGTGTCACTCCTGCAGACCACCTTTGCTTGAGCAAAACCACCAGTTCCCGGGCCAGCAGATGGCATGGCTACAGCGCTGAAGCCCACATGGCCTCTTCCACGGTTTGAGTCCCGGACCCTGCAGCTTGGAAGAACAAAACAAAACCTTACCAGTTCCTTCACTGTCGTGCCCTGAGAGAGGGGACCCAAACCTGGCGTTCCCACCCACTGCCCAGATCCCTTCGGGATCTGACAATATATAGCTGTGGAAACGACTCTGCTAAAACCAAAACAACCCAGAGTGCACCGTCCTGGAGGGTAAGAGAGTGAACTGGAGTACAGCTGAGGTAGTCAGGGAAGGCCCCAAGAAAGTGGTGACACTGCAAAAGCAGCATCGGACTTACACGAACAGAGAGGATTCAGGACCGGGAGGGTTTTTCAGGAGACAAAGTGGGCGGCAGCGCCCTGGTGTCTAGCCAAGCTGGAGGGTGACGTCAGAGGGCGTGGTCACCAGGGGGCGTAGCTGTTGTGGGCGTGGTCATCCGAAGGCTTTGGGCCTGGGAAGCAGGACAACATGGGTCCTGCCAGCTTCCATCTGCCCTAGTGTCCCCATCCGTAGAGCCTCCGCGGCCAACGACGGGCTACAGAACAGGGGGACACCGGAGGGAGAGGGCGGGTCTACAAGGTCGACCAGTCCCGCCCGCCCCAGCACACTCACACACGCGCTCTCTGCAGGCTGCGGTGCGGGAGCGCGGTCTTCTCCGGGGCCGGGGACGTGCAGGTCCTGCTGCGGGGGCCGTGCAGGCGGGGGCGGAGTGCTGCGGGGCTCGGCCCCGGGGAAGCCCGGTACGGGGGCTCCAGGAGGGGCAGGGCTGGTTCTCAGGGCCAAGGCTCGGCCTCTGCCCCGGCGCGGTCTGGTCTGAGGTCTGGTGAGCCAGAGCTGCCATCGCCCTTCTCCGTGCCACCTGCTGCCCTCGCCCCTGCCCCAGGGGGGGTGACTCCTCTGGAGACCCGGCTTTCTCATCGCGAGCCTCCCTTCTCTGCAACATCCAGATTCCTCGCAGTCCCGTCGCGGGCCCAGGCCAATGGGCCCCCAACTCGGGAATTCGCGAGGTGGGGCCGGGCAGGCGGGGGCGGAGTGCTGCGGGGCTCGGCCCCGGGGAAGCCCGGTACGGGGGCTCCAGGAGGGGCAGGGCTGGTTCTCAGGGCCAAGGCTCGGCCTCTGCCCCGGCGCGGTCTGGTCTGAGGTCTGGTGAGCCAGAGCTGCCATCGCCCTTCTCCGTGCCACCTGCTGCCCTCGCCCCTGCCCCAGGGGGGGTGACTCCTCTGGAGACCCGGCTTTCTCATCGCGAGCCTCCCTTCTCTGCAACATCCAGATTCCTCGCAGTCCCGTCGCGGGCCCAGGCCAATGGGCCCCCAACTCGGGAATTCGCGAGGTGAGTCGGGAAGAGCCGGGTCCCGCGGCAGAGGGAAGGCCCTGGACTCCAGGCTGAAGCCTTTCCAAGTGGCTTTTGGTTTTGTCGTGTTGTTTCAGGTAAGCGAGAGCGAGCCGGAGTCCGTCCTGCCTCTTTGCACTCAGTGAAGACCAAGCATCTCCGCGGTTCTTTGCACTCATTGAAGCCCAGGCGTCTCCGCGTTTCGGCTCGGGCTCGCGGCTGTCCCAGCCCCTCTGCCCCCGGGCCCGCCTCCCCGGCCCCGCCTCCTGCTTTCCCTGCCACGCCCACCTTGGTGCACTCCCTCGTGGGCTTCCTGAATCCAGTTATTATTATTATTTTTTTGGGAGAGGTTTTGGCTAGAGGGCGCGTGCGCTCTCCAGAAAGAGAGAGACAGAGAGGCAGAAAGCGAGAAATCACCCCCCAGGAGGGATGGCCACTCCGCAATCCCTTCTCCTCCATTCTCCTCTCGGGATCTTGGGCATGCACGCACATGCGCCCAGCGTGAGTTTTAAGCCACCAGGTCCGGGATGCGAACCGCGGTCGACTACGTGAGAGTCCAGCGACATAGCCATTATGCTAACTGCTGGTCCCTCTTGCTTTTTATCTGCTCCAATTAGACACACACACACACACACACACACACACACACACACACTACAGGAAATCAGGCAGTGTCATTTAGTTTGAGTATAAAAATTCCCCAGCGTTTCCTCTTTTTGGCTGCCCCCCCCACACACACACTCGCGTCCCTCTCTCCTGCCCGGCCCACACTTCCTCTCCAACTCTGCTTCTCTCTCCCTCACTCAGGTCAGGGTGGGTTTCCTGTGTCCAGCAGGATGCAAACCCTTGGGAATCAGGGCTAAATATAACTCTGATGGAGGGAGGGGGTGAGCTGGGAAAGAAAGACAGGTGGGAAAGATCTGGAACATTCCAGAGGAGGACGTTCTGTCACTGACATGGCCTGGGAGGAAGGGCACCACCAGGTGAGGTGAGTATGGCAGAGTAAATAAGTTGTGGGGGTGAGGTTGGTTGGAGGCCAGGGTCCTGGGCCGGGGCCAGAGACACTGATGGGTCCTGGCTGGCCGGGCAAGCCTTGGCCTGGAAACAGAGTGCTCTGGACAGGTGAGGGCCTCATAGACAGGGAACGGGTCTTCACATTATTGACAGGGAGACCAAAAAGGACAGAGGACCTTAGGAAGGTGGACCCTGGGCTCAGGGCAGGGCCTGCAGGGTGACCAGAGCCCCAGGCGAGGCTCGGAGGCTGCCCTGCAATAGGAGCTTAATGTTTTGAGGGCGCCATCTTGAATTCTTCATGACAGTATCATCCAACTGGGTTTTGTTCATGAAACCCAACCAGACAATGGAGCCTCTGCTGCCCTGTGTTCCTGCCTCCCTCCACCCTCTCTGGTCCAATTAAAAATAATAAATAAATAAATAAATTTCTAAACACAAACAAAAAGCCCCTGAGAAGTGAGAGGATGGTCTTCAGTGTTTTGCTTTATGTTTCCTGTGGCGCCTACATTTTCCGCACTGAGCAGACACCGTTCTTGTGGAAAGGCCCGCCAGCGAGGACGTCAGGTCCCTGTACCGAGGCAGGACCAGCGGGTGGCCGCAGCCCGTGCTGGCGCCCGAGGGACGTGGACTCCTGCCCTGACGGCTAGGCCAGGCCTGAGGCCGCACACGGAGCCAGGATAGCACTTCCACATTCGGCTGTGGCTTCTTCCCCCAAAAGTAAAACGGGAAGGAGTGACCGCTAGTTTCTCATTTAGGACGCTGACTTTGGCAGCCTGGAATTGAGGGGCCTGTTCTGTTGTGAAAGAGAACCTGCAATTTGAAGTTTAAAATAAACCCAGCCATCCTCCCAGTGCCGGCCTCCCTGGAGAGTTGGTAACGGGAAGAGAGGCCTGAGCTGCCGGGCAGAGGCCGGACCCAGCTGAGGCAAGTGGGCAGCTGTGCTGCTTACAGCAGGACAGGGTCCCCTCTTGCTACCTGCCCCTCCGAAGGAGCCGTTGGAATGCACACGTATGGCAAAAAGGCAGAAACCCCAAATGAGATTTTGGGGTGATTGGTGCATTTAGGCAGAGGTGGTCTGTAGGCCTGGGGTCTGCTCCACTTTCAAATCGTACGTGGGCTTTGCATCCGTCCTCCTGGGGTAGAGAGGATCTGGGCCGGCTCGGGGGTGCAGTGGCAACGTGCTGCCCACGTGACACCGTATCTGTATGGAAGGTCACAGGTTCGGTTCCCCCACTGGCCTATATACACGAGCCAGGTGCCCAGGATAGGGGCTGGCTGGGAACGCCCAGGTGGGGTGGGGGAATCCCAGGACGAGAGCTGCTGAGGATGCTTCTCTCAAAAAGAAACCACTTGGGACCAGCAGTTGGATGAGCCTCACTGCCCGCTCTCCTCTCCTGACCCTTGCAACCTAACTTGGGGGTTGCAGGGGGCAGCTGATAAGCACCGTGGCCCAGATGGAGTCCAGGCTACAAGGACAGCAGGATTTGAGGGAGGGGTCTGGGTCACAGAGCCAGAGGGGGCCAGGACCCACAGCCCCTCCTCAGCTGGAGCACCTCTCACTGCACCGGAGGTGGAGGCGGGACAGCTCTGGGAAGCCACACTGATGGCCTCCCCTGCTGACATTCCTGGGGATGGGGATGGAAGACCAAACCATTCACTGGCCTGAAGATGCAAAGCCGAGGTCGGTGTGCCCGCCAGCTTGTCCAGGGTCCTGCCAGTGTGGTTCCTGGCACAGGGGTGTGGATTAGGCTCAGCAGGCTGCTCCTCTGCCTTTCAGTGACAGAACATAGATGCGACCCAGATAGGGGCCGTGCGGAATTCCCAGCAGCCAACATCTCCCCTCACCCCTGCCAACAGTGATATGGAGGCCTGCAAGCTGCTTGCTTGCGCTGTCATCTCGGAGTTAAGTGTTTTTTTCTTTTTAAATTAATTAGTTTGTTTTAATACAACCAGAGGGAAAGTGAGAGAGCAAGCTGCCAGGCCGGGGACTCGAACCGTGGTCGTACATGTGGGAGTCCAGCACCCTTAACCACCACGCCACCTGCTGCTCTTCTTGGGTTGTTTTATGTAATAAAAGGCCCCTCACTGGTGTCTCCTCAGTCAGCCACCTGGGGTTGGTGAGGGAAAGACATGGGGGTGATCCCAGCAGAAGAACCTGGCAAAGCTTAAGGGCCACAGGTTGCCACTCTTGTCTTGCTTTGACTCAGAAGTACAAGGGGCTGGGACCAGCAGATGGCATCATGGTAACGTCGCTGGATTTCCATGGCGTTGACTGCAGATCAAGTCCTAGACCCGGCCACTCAGAACTCACACCTGGTATGTGTGCCTGTGAGCCCCAAATGCCGAGAAGATGGAAGAAGGGATTGTGGCATGGCCATCCCCACCGGGGGCTGATTTCTCACTTTGTCTCTGTCTCTCCGGCAAGTGCACACACCTCTCTAAAAGAAAGAAGAAGGAAAACAAAAGGAAGTAGGAGGGATCTCAGAAAGTGCCAACAAAGTATCTATTAGGGAAAAACTATGCATGCAGTTCAAGATGTTGTGTATCGAGGGACCAGCAGTTGGCGTCATGGCTATGTTGCTGAACTCACACGTTGTCAACCGCGGTTCGAGTCCCAGACCTAGTGGCGTAAACTCACACCGGGCATGTGTGCGTGCGTGCCCAAGATCCCGGGAGGAGAATGGAGGAGAAGGGATTGCGGCATGGCCATCCTCCCTGGGGGGTGATTTTTTTTGCTTTCTATCTGTCTCTGTCTTTCTGGTGAGCGCACGTGCCTATAGCAAAAACCTCTCAAAAACTCAAAAAAATTTAAAAAAAGGAAAAAAAGATTTTGTGTACCGAAACGAACTCATACTTGAGTTCCATTTCCACAAACGTCCCAAGTCCCCTCTTGGGCAGTACATGGAGGCAGCCCTGGCCTCCCCGATGACTCTCTTCCCCTGAAGCCCCCGCCTTGGGGCTGCTCTCTGAGGGCCTTTAATCTGGGGTACAGTCTGTGCCCACCATTGCCCCCAGTGACAGGTTCCCGTGATTCGAATTTAGCTCTGCACCCCCTCCAGCCCTGGTCCAACGCCCTGCCCCAGCTAGCTAAAACCAGCCCAGGCTAACGGCCGGCAGGTGACTTGGTCCCAGTGAAGGCTGGGACAGGAAGTGAGGTGGCTGGGGCTGCTGCTCAGGAAACAATGCACTGTCACTGCTGCTCCAAGGCGCAAGGCCTGTCCCAAGGACCCCAGCTCCAATTCCCGCCCACTCTGCCGCTGGCTGCCTAGGCCCAGGCCAGCGTCTATCCCAAAGGTCCACGTGGCTGCGTGGTTCCTAACATGCCCTGTGCGCTCAAGGCCCCAAATACAGCTTCATAGTTTTTTTTGGTTTTGTTTTTTAAAGGTTTTGCCCATAGGGTACATGCACTCACCAGGTGTGAGAGATGGAGGGAAACCGAGAAATCACTCCCCTGCCCAGGGGGAATGGCCATGCCACAGTCCCTTCTCCATTCTCCTCCTGGGATTTTGGGCATGTGCACACACACACAACCCAGGATGGTTTTCAAGCCTTCAGGTCTGGGACTCGAACCGCCTTCAGCCATGTGTGTCCAGCACCTTAACCACCTGCAGTTAAGTCCCCAGTCTAGTACTTTTTAGAGGCGCCGCCTATCTGGGCACCACAGGATGCCTGAGCCATGGGGAGGTGGCTTCTGTCCCTGATGTCACCTGACACCTGTGACCTGTCCCGAGGGGGCTGCAGGTTTTGGGGGCCCCGATGACAGCAAATCACAGGACGGTCGTTGGACCGGCAATGTGCCGTTTTTTCAAATATAACATTTATTGCTTAGATGGTTTGATACAGAACAGCGTTCTTTTCATTCTGAATTTGGAAGTTCTATACAACTGAATACAAAGAGGAACAAAAAGTACCAAAACCAAACTTGTGATTCTCTGTTCATGTGGCATCGACCAGTTTTGTACATACCATTGTAGCAGCAGTTTTTAAGTTCCCTTTAGAAAAATATGAATTCTACACATTTATTATTGTTTCCTGTTTAATGCATGTACTGAAATCACTAGGATCAACTTCCTTCTTGAAGACAGAGAGGAGAGGATAGAGACGAACGAGGGGGGGGGGGGGGAGCC